CTGGCTGGATTAGGTGCATCTTAGTACTCAAAGTAACATCGTTGCTTTTCAACACTTTAAAGAGGCCTTGTGAAGCTAATTTACCCAATGCAATGTGTCATTTGAGCTCTTTACTGCTGCTTCCATGAGCATTGACTGTGGATCCAACCAAGACAAAATCCTTGCCAGCTTCAGTCTTTATTTATCATGATGTTACCTATTGATCCAGTTGTAAGGATTTTTTACTTTTGTTGTTGTTTACATTGAGTTGTGATCCATACTGAAGGCTGCAGTCCTTGATTTTCATTAGCAAGTGCTGCAAGTCCTCCTCATTTCAGCAAGCAAAGTTGTACCATCCCAGGTTGTTAATAAACCTTCCTCCAAAAGATACTGTATTTTCAATATGTTCCAACTTCTCTGATTATTTCTTCAGCATGCAAATTGATTAAGTATAATGAGAGGATACAACTCTTACACACACTCTTCTTGATTTTAAACTCTTGTTCTATTCACATAACTACTTATTGATCCATGGACAGGTTCCTCATGAACACAATTAAGTGTTCTGGAATTCCCATTCTTCTGAAGGCTATTCATATGTGGATGGACTTACTTCTGGGTTCTATTCTATTCCACTTATCTATGTCTCTGCTGTTTTATCAGTATCAGGTTATATCAATTACTGTGACTGTGTAGTAGGTTTTGAGATTTGCAAGTGAGAGGTCGCCTACTTTGTTCTTTTTCTTTAGTAGTGCTTTGCTTATCAAATTCTTGGTTCTTTCCATACATAATCAGTAGAAGATTTTTGCAGCTGTAAAATATATATATTTTGCACTATATTTGGAACTATGTATATATATTTCCACTTGTCTGTCAATTTGTCATACTGTGATGGCTTGTGTATTACGGTGATGCTGAAAACTATGTTAATGGTACTTCAAGTGCCAGCGTGGTTACCCAAAGTGAACAGATTTCAGCAGAGCTTCCAGATTAAGAAGAGATAACAAAGGACTCGGCTCCCAACTTCAGAGGAAGAAGCCAGTGGAAACCTTACACATAACTTCAAATACTGAATACTGACGCCTAAGCAAAGGAAGCAGAACACTGGAGCTATTGCTGGAGGATGGGCCCCGCAGGTCCAAGAGCACTGGAAATGGGACTGAAGAGGAGGTGGTTTCTTAAGGGGGAGTCGACCATGTAACATGATTTAAGTAAAGCCGGTGGGAGGAGCCTTCAGGGAGGAGCCTTCAGGATCTTCATTTGCTGATGGGGCATGACTCAAGGTAAAGAGAAACAGCTGAAAAGAAATCTTCTAATTATTGGAACTTGGAATATGGGAAGTATGAATTGAGGGCAATTGAAAGTGGTGAAAAATGAAATGGAATGCATGAAGATAGATATCCTAGGCATTAGTGAACTGAAATGGACTGGAATTGGCCAGTTTGAATCAGAAAATCATCTGATTTACTATGCAGGAAAAGCACAATCAAGAAGAATGATGTGGCATTAATTGTTAGAAAGGAGCTTGCTAAATCCATCCTGAAGTGCAATGCAGTTTATGATAGGATAATATCTGTCCTCCTTTAAGGAAACCCAACCAATACAACTATTATTCAAATTTATGTACCAACCACCAAAGCTAGTGATGACGAAATTGAAGAATTCTACCAACAGCTTCAGTTGGAAATTTATCAAACATGCAATCAAAATACAATGCTAGCTATTGATTGGAATCTAAAAGTTGGAAACAGGAAGGAGCAGTAGATAGAAAATATGTACTTGGTGAAACTTGCTCTTAATCATAGAGTAGCTAAAGCAAATGTTAGAAAGGATAAAGTCAAGAAGCTGAATAGAAATTTTAAATGGTAGCTCAAGAAGACAAAGCCAAATATTATAACAAAATGTGCAAGGACCTAGAATTAGAAAACCAAAAGGGAAGAACACACTCAGCATATCTGAAACGGAAAGAACTCATGAAAAAAAAATCATGCCTCAAGTTGCAATCATGAAAGATTCTATAGGCAAAATATTGGATAGTGCGTGAAGCATCAAGAGAAAATGGATCAAGCCCTACCAGCCCACCTACACCCTCCTTGCCATCGATTTTGGATCACTTGTTGTTCCCTTGTCCCTGGGTTTGTTAACACCCACTTCCTTTCACCCGACTCCCCCTCTCCCATGCCCCCTCTGAACCATTGGTCCCCTTGTTTTCTCCTCCAGATTGTTTATCCTGCCTATCTTATCTAGATAGACCTGCAGAGATAATAATATGCACACAAAAACAAGACAGAGGAAAACAAAGCAACAAAAGAAAACAACAACAAAAAGAAAAGTCGGTAAATAGCTCAAAGTCTGTTGACCTTTAGGAGTGTTTTATGGTCAATCTGATGGGGTGCCATGCCCTGGCCCCAAAGTCTAATTTTGGTATTCCTTCGGGCCTTCCTTGCTCTGCTCCCCTTGCTGTTCTTTTGCACGTCCTCGGTGTGGTGCCTCAGTCAGATTGGGCACAATTCCCGCACTGTGTCTCCAGTGTTGTCTCCCATAGGGCTATGGGTCAGTGAGGGATATTGTGAGTCCTAGTGGGGCCGGCCATATGGTCCTCTCTTTGCATTGGCTGCTCTGAGCAGTGATATCGTCCTCAAGGCTTGGTGGGCCAGGTTGTGCCCCACTCTCTCCTCCTCCCCCTTCATTTGCTTCTGTGTGCTCTGATCAGACATGTCCCTCTCCCTGAACTGTAGCTTCAGTGCTGTCCTCTGAAGTAAATTCTTCTGGGAGGAGGGAGACTGTCCACATTGGGATTGGGGCCAACCCCTCAGACCTCTCCATTTGTTCCCTGCTGGTAGGGCTTGATCAAGGGCAATGTAACCAAGAGGAATTACTGAAACCCAAATGAAGACTGAGCATGATAGTGGGACAAGAGGAAAGTAAAAGGAAATATAGAAAGTACTAGGAGGCAAAGGACATTTATAGAGGTCTAA